GAGAGAGAGAGAGAGAGAGAGAGAGAGAGAGAGAGAGAGAGAGAGAGAGAGAGAGAATGGGAGAGAGAGAGAGAGAGGAAGGGGGAGAGAGAGAGAGAGAGAGACATCCGCAGCCCGACCCCACACCCCCTCCCCCCAACCCCTGCAGCCCGACCTGGCGACCCCGGACCCTCACATCCCCGACCCCTGCAGCGACCCCCGCCCCCGCACCTCAACCGCCGACCCCAACAAACCCGGTCCCACACCAGCAACCCCCGCCCCTGCGCGAAGGACCACCCCAGTCCCGGCAGGGTAGGGTCTATCCCCGGGGGGGTTCCAGAGAGGCCTTTCCCCCTCCCTTTTTTTTTCTTTTTTTGACATTTTTTCGATTTTTTTTTTTTGCGGGGGGGGTTTCAGACCTGGGGATCAGGACTCCCAGATCCGGGGACGGGGGTCGACAACACTGAATAGGGCATTCTCCCTACTTCGCATTGTGTACTTTTTTTCCCATTTTTTTTTTGGACTATTTACTATTTAGACTTTTTCTCGATTTATGTGTGTCATCCTTGCGCAGGGGCCATGCTAATCTTCTCTGTATCGTTCCAACGGATGTCCCGAAGGACTTCTCATCGTGTACTTAATAAAGGAAAGAGAACTCGGATATAAACGAGGAGGAAGGAAAGGCTGACGGAGGGAGGGAGGGTAGGGAAGCGGGGGGCATTTATCTGCAAAAGAATGAATGCAACAGGACTTCACACTCTGCTTACGTCACATGGAGAGAGAGTGAAGGAGAAGGGGAAGAAGGGAAGGTGAACAGAGGGATGTGTGGGAGGGATGGGAGGCATGAGAGGGGAGCAGGGAGAGGTAGGGAGGGGTAGGGAGGGGTAGGGAGGAGAGCGCTTACCTGCAAAGAAGGAATGCATACGGGCAGTCGCACTCGGCTTGCATCAAACGATACACCCACAAATCCAATTATTCGCCCCTTGAGATCGTGAATTGGTGATGTTGTTACCACCGTGTCGAGAAGAGTTCCATCACGATGGAGACAAGGGAAGTCACCTCTCCAGGTTGAGCCTTGAGCAACACGTTCCAAAACATTCACTGCACTCTTTTGCTGAAAGAAAGGAACCAGCACTGAGTTAATGTCCCTCAGCATGACCTCGTCGGCTTTCCAACCAAATAGCTCCTCTGCAGCCTGATTCCTGAAGAGAAAAAGTCACAGAGAGCCAAAAACCAGGAGCCGAACCGCTATAACGTTAGAAGGACTCTCGGGATCAAATGAGCCAGAAAAACAAGAAACACAATCAGCCACTAAGCGACCATAGGCACAGCCGACCCTTAGGCAAGTCTGGCAGACGTCAGAACATAGATAGAACAGGCGGAATACCAGGTATGAGGACACTGGAGGTCGGCAAGCATCGATGGAACTCAGAGCAGGTCAAGAGACAGTCACAAGGGGGTACCAGAGTATTGGAAAACAAAAATAATACCGTGTCGATTGTGGGACGAACTCATAGTTTCCTGAACTGGGAGCAAACCAGATTACACTTACCAATAGGTGATGGATGCTTCCAAATTAGAACAGATCACAGCCTGCCCCAGCGCATCGAGCACCACGCCTGCTGGTGGTGGCATGACACCCTTGCCCTCATTTGCACTGCGCTTCACTGAAGGAACCTGCAGATTGCAGTCACCAGCATCATCTACCTCTTCCTCAAAAATGTGATTTGCAGCAGTAGAAGAATTGAAAGCTGTCATTTCAGACTCAGTACCCACCAGAGTTCTGCACCCCTGTTGCTTCTTCGATCTCTCAGTATAATTGTGAAAGATTCCCTCCGCAGGAACAGCACCTTCATCGGTTAGGCCCCCGGCTACATCAACAACTCCTATGACGTTTTTCTGGACTGTGCTATCAAGTTTTATGGGCCCAGAATTCACACCTAGATGGGTACAAGCGTGCAAATGACCCTCTAAAATCACACCTTGAGGGGTACAAGCGTTCAAATAACCACCCTCTGTGTTGCATGCGAACCCATCATTCAGTCCCTCGGCTATGAGGTTTTTCTGGACTGTGCTGTCAAGTTTTACAGGCCCAGAATTCACACCTCGAGGGGCACAAGCATGCAAACGACCCTCAAAATTCGCACCTGGAGGGGTACAAGCCTGCAAATAACTACCCTCCATGTTCCTTCCGAACCCATTCCCTAGTCTTAACAACACATCCTCAGCCATCTGCTCCCTCATTCTTTGAAATGTGTTCCAACCTGCCCTACCCCCATGAATTGGCATCGGGCAAACAAGCAATGCCATGCAGAATGAGATCCTTCCTCTCCCTCATAGCCAGTGGAGAAAGGAGATGCCCTCCCCATATGCTCCTCGCTCTTCGCATTCCGTTCCCCGTCACCATCACCGACTCCTAGCCACACACCAGTGACAGGAAACTAAGATCCAGCTTATTGTGTCTTTCTCACAGGCTATTCCTTTAAGTTCGCCTTGCCTAAGGCCTGTTCGCCGAGTGCCACCCTCCTCCGTCACATTGACACCAACAGATAGTCCATGTCCACAAGAGGATGTCATAAGCTCCCAAGCCTTGTTGATAATTACTTGGCGTTGTTGACGACGATTTGACCAGCACGATTTTTGAAACTGGTCAGCACAAGTTGTTCGTGTATCCCTAAACCAAAGGCATTGACTAGCAGCGGATGACGATGACGACGAAAAGAGCACCAACCATCAGGACAAGTACAGGGGATCGTCTGGCCACCTGGTACCTCAGACATTCTGGTAGTTCTGCTCATTGTTTCCCTGATACCAGAAGCCCCACCAATTAGCAGCTCGGGGTTTGAACGGTCGTTGGTCGACTCTGCAGATTATACACACATGAAATACGACCACTGGTTCTGATGGTGTAGTACCCCCTTTTCAGAGTTCTTGTCACATATGTCAGGGAGCATAACCGCTCCAGGGAGTGCCATGCAAGGCGCCCCAAAAAAGGGCCACAACCAATAGACAGTATGAATGCACTCCGAATACACTCTCCCTCTTCTCTCTTTACGGCATCAAACCGATCGACCACAGAATCTGCAATCACCAAGAAGAGCTACCAAACGTGATACCGGGCACACCTTCTTCTGTCTGTATAGCATGAAATTAACCGACCCTGCAACAACCAAGAAGAGCCACCAAACACATAAGAGCAATGGAACCATCATGGCAATCCATAGCAAGGCATCATTGACACACAGAAAACTGTATATATGACTTGTGTAGCCTTACAATAGCAGATAGATGTATAGTCAGACCCTACCAGCACTATGTTCATGCTTGAAGAGCATGAACACAGTCAGTCACAATTATGCTCATGTTCGTGCTTTCTCGGCATGAACATAGCACCAGTGGATCGTGGCCCGTAGACTCCAACCAGGTTAAAGGACATAAGCAAGTCCGAGAAGATGATAGTGATGACAATATTAGAGCATACCATGGCTACAATTCGGGCATCCAGAGAAGTGTGCCCACTTGGTCTCCCGCTCGTGGTCCAGAAGCTGGAAGTCTGCAGATGCCTTGTCCGGAGTAATTAAAAACGAATCATCCAAAAGTTCTCCAGATTGAATTTTTTGATTTTACAAAAATACTCAAAAATAACTTCGGGAAAACAATTTGTTGTGCAGCACACAAACAACTTCGCCCCGACGACATTCTGAAATCTGCAACCGAATTCCAGATACAAAATAAATAAGAAAACAAAACACATCTTTTACGGCACCTCTTAGTCCCGATAAGGTCCATACCTGCAGACCCCATGCGGAACATCCGGTGTCTGGGCCCACGGTAGCCACAGAGAATAATGCTCGCACCAGGATTTTTCAACTGAATCTAAGGACGGCCAATATACGTCTAGAAAATTTGGGGTGGAAGCATGTCCTTCATAATACTGGCAACACCTCATAACAGCCGGCAACACTCTGTTTCAAAATAACTATGGCTGCGTCATACTTCTCAGTTGTGATTCCCAGCCGAAAGAGGTCTTTCCAGTCCTGTTGCCAGCCGAGTTTTGAAGTAGTCTAATCGGGGAGGTTTCAGAAGAGTTGTGTCAGTCGCCATGTCATCGAGGGTCTTCTAGGCCCTTCGTCTCACCACTTGCCGTGGGAAATTTTTCAGCTATTTAATCCATCAGATAGAACACCTGAACTTTTTACCGTGGCAAGTGAAGAGGCCAAGGGCCAAGAAGGTCCTGGAAAAGACTCAAAAGAGGCCAAGAGGGTCTGCTGGTAATACCGCTGAACCTGGCCGTGATCAGGGTCAGAGTCAGAACTGCCCTGCTCTTCATGCCTGGCCCATGGCTGAGATGTCTCGGTCAGGGGCTCACGTGGCTCTTGACCAACTCCACTGGTGAGTCGTGACTAGTTAGGGCCTATGTGAACCCAGGATTTGATTCGACATTACGAGGACAGACATTGGCTGGACATTTGATGGGGAGACTATTTCTTGGACGACTACGAGTTCTACTCTTGTCTTCTCTCCCCTCTCCATCTTCGTCTCTCTTTCCCTTTCATCATCCGTGGTTCTTCCCCATGTTTTGCGCAAGGAGGGACCTTTCTTCTGTGTACGACTCCCCTCCTTGCTGTGTGACATGTGTGCTGAGGATTGTGCGAGTCAAGTCTGGATCTGATGTGTCAGGTCATATCTTTGAGTCTTCTGCTGCGCTACATTGCATTATATCGTTTTGTTCCAAGTCCTATTCATCACACTGGCGCTCCTTGGACATGTGCATCGCTCATCTTCAGACGAGCATGCACCATAGCCCACAGTGGAAGAATAGTCGAGCAAGCCATGTTGCACAAGTACTTTGGACGCCAGGCATGACCCACTATACCGCAAGCCTCCCTAGGTGGAATCCATATATCGCATATTGGTTGTGCTGGCTGTATAGCCCGCGAAGGTAGTCCGCCTTGGTGCAGTCAAGTGCCCTTATTCCGCCAACGAATGGACAGTCTCCCACCTGCCGGTCATCAACTGGGCTACTTCCCCAAAAGGCACCCAATGCATGCCTCACACACAATGCACCCTTAATCTATCATCCGCAGTAGACCGTCCCCCACCTATCAACAGACCCCGGTCATCAGCTAGGTACCTCCTCCAGCTTACCATCCCTCCTTCCACTAGGCCACAGCCTATCCCTGAGAATCCCTATTGTATGTTGTCTATATATGAACACTCAACAGAAATTGATCCCAGACCAGTCGTATACAGTTGTACGGTTGTATGACTGGTGTTATACGGTTGTATGGGTCTACAAATTGATTGACGCGCCAATTCGGCGAGTACAATCCTTTCAGACCAACTGCATAAGGCAAGCCTCCCATCGCCCAGATCCCAACATACAACACCCATGGACTGAACTCCTTTGGCCTGATCAGGCAGTGTCTGTAATCCTTACCGTGCACAGACCCAAGAGGAGTGTGTGAACAGCCATGCACCGGTCAACGCCCGCCCGCGTCCATGCGCGAGGCTGCAGGGTTTTCAACCCACAACCTCAGACCACAATGTGCATTTCCAACCCGTGCTCTACCCACTGAGCTAAAATTGCACCATTTTCAATGGATGTGTATCTTATATTTCAAACAAGAAACTCTAAAACACATTCAAACTTTACATTAAAATGCTTTTTTTAAGTTTTTTTTAAGTTTCTATTCCTGTAGAACTTCCCTAGATTGCACCACTGATGGGAATCTATGGTGTAAATAGTTCTACCCTCTACTTGTAGTATCATGAGGGGGCGTTGTGTTTGTGAGAAGGCGAGAAGAAGATAACGCTCAATCGTAATTGACTGTCCAATGTGCTCCGCATGACTGTGTCAGAAAAGAAAAATAGCTTGTATACATCCATGATCATCGCGTATTGGCTGTTTTCGGGTGGAAGAGGCCTACCCTCTTCCCCCCTGAATAGAACGTAACATTGGATCCCTCCTGCTGCATCGACGGTTGGCCCATAAAGGATATATATATTGTCACATAACTACGTGCAATAACCCATGCCATATGTCTCATGAAACTGAGGGTCATCAGAAAGCCCACTTGGCCGCCCTCAGCCCAGGCCGAACCAGGGCAGAAAAGGCCCTTCATGAACTCATGGGCCTGGGCGTGTGACAGTTGACTTTGGTCAACTGTCGGTCCACCCAACAGTCAAAGTCCAAAGGTACCTAGCCCAGGCCGCAGGTCAAGCACACACACTTGTTTGTACGCAGGTACCCAGACAGCATCAGGTCCAAGGGAGAAGTCTGCAACTGTACAATCCGGGCCTTCAGCTGTGAGTCAATCTGGACGACTGAGGGGAAATGCACCGAGGCCAGACAGCCTCGCTGACTACTACTTAAGGCTGGCCTCGAGGAAGTCAAGGATTCAGTCTTGCTATGCTGCTTTGACGCTGGCTCGACTTTGGCTAGACGCTGGCTATATGCTGGCTGTGCACAGGCGCTGCGGGCGACAGCACGAGGTGGAGCCAGCATGCTGGCGTTTTCTCAGTGCGCCAGGCTACACTGATGTGGCGCTGCCTCTGGTCTACGTGGCATGCTGACGTGGCGCTGCCTCTGGTATATGTGGCGCTGCCTCTGGTCTACATGGCATGCTGACATGGCGCTGCCTCTGGTCGACGTGGCATGCTGATGTGGCGCTGCCTCTGGTTTACGTGGCGCTGCTACTGGTCTACATTGATGATGTGGCGAATGCCACCTGTTTCGCTTACTGCTGATGTGGCATTGTCCACGCTGTCTACATGAGGTGACTGGTTGCGAGGAGGAGGAAGATCGGGATCTGTCGATGTAGGGAATCGGGTACTCACCTGCGGTTTACGTCGTCACTGGAAATCTGCTGTGTCTACAGACTCTTCATGAGATAAAGTGCCACGTGGCACTATTAAATGTGATCAAGAATATACTTATTATCATTGATGATCTGGTGTGGAAAGAAGCCCGGAGAAGGAGAGGGATCTGAAGGGTTTATTACTGTGTGATCTCTCTTCCTTTCCTTTGTCTATTCTCCCTCCACTCTCCTCTCTTTTTGATAATGAGTTACTGTTTGAGATATCATTTCACGATCTGGAGACTTTCATGCAGATACTGAAACTACGGTAGATTGACGACTTCTGAGTATCTATCAGACTGGGTTCATTACATATGAACTAAAAGAGTTGCATGGGTCCTGTGGACCATCTCACGCCAAAATGTATAGATCATGCAACTTCGTCACTCTCAAAGAACTGTAGCCATCACTCTTAGACAAGGGTAGGAGAGAAGAATGCTGCATGACGCAGCTTATATTATCAAAATTATGTTTACAAAAAAAAAAATACCAATGTTCCCTGAACTCAGRCGCA